AGGGGGTGGAGGAGCTGAGCTCAGGCCTATCAGTCCCAGCCAAGTCCCAGAACCTTCCTGCCCTCCTGGGCCCTGGAGACCCCAGAACCCAAACCCTTCCCTTCCCTTCTCAGCCCCACCCTTGGCACCAAGGAATAAAGCGGGGGAAACTCACTCACTGCGGTCCTAGAGCTTCAGGGAGGTGACACGGGGGATGTGGAAGGGCTGAGTGTCCTCAGAGCTGCTGGCACTGCAGCATCACAGGGAGTGAGTGAGTGAGGCCCCCAGGCCCAGGCCCTCAGCCCCGACACAGGAACAAGCCCAGAGCCTGGAATTTCCTGCCTCAGAAGCTCTTCAGGGGTAGCAAGGGTGCCCAAAAGTTAGGTCTGGTGGATGTGTTGCAGCAAGAAGGATTCAGGGTAGACACATGGAAGAACTTTCTGGCCCTGGAGCTCCTCAGACTGTGTGACTTCAGGGTTAGGCGTAAGCCTCCCCTGCCTGGAGGTCTCAAGATGGCGTGCAGCAGGGGCCGGGCCCAGCAGCCGGAAGGGCTCCTGCCTGGGCCCCTGCTGCACCCCACAGACCTGGCAGCCTCCTCACCTGAGGCGTTTCCGGATGGGATGGAAGTATCTGGAGGTCTTGACAGCGAAGATGACACTGGGGATCAGGAAGAAGGCGCACCAGCCCAGGCAGAACCAGAAGGCGTTCTGGAACAGAGGAGGTGAGGTCAACGCACTGTGTCTGGGCACCCCCAGTCCCCCCGCTGACTCAGTGTGGGGCACGGGGACGCATTCTCAGAGCTGAGGGAAAGGGCGGGGGTGTAGGCCCAGGGCAGGGCCCCGCTCACGCTGTCCCTCCCGTGGGGGCCTCCACGTCCACGAGCCCTGATGGGCTGGGGGGCACTCACCCAGGGGTCAGCCACCATGTCACACAGGATCACACGGCCATTGTCCAGGGCTGTGGAGAGGGGCTGGCAGGTGGTGATGCGCTGAGTCACCTGTGGTGTCAACGTGAGGCAGGTACATGCAGACACACCCAGACCCACAGGTGCTCAGAGGGAGGTTGACAGGGACACAGACAGGCCCAGGGACACAGTGGGGAGCCACTGCACAGCTGTACACAGACACACGGATGTGGCAACACAGAGAAGGGAGGACACACTGCCATCAGCTCATCGCTCACCTCCTGCCTTTCCCACCCTGTTCACCAGCCTGGGTTAAGCCCTTACTGTGTGCCCAGAGCTGTTCTCTAAGTCACACTCTCACTGGGAGGCAACACGTGTGCACACACACACAATGCACTGCACACACGTACATACCTGCACAGACACATACTCGCACACACATGTACAGACACACTCAGGGTTAAGCGAGACCCCTGCCTGTCCAGTGTGGGTGGTAGATAGCCCGGTCCACGCTCAGGCCTCAGAGAAGGGCTATGGCAGAGTTTGGGGGATGGGCAGAACCCAGCCAGCCAGATGCCAGGTTTGGGAGTTTGGGTTCAATCCTGAAGGCCTAGGGCACCCCCAGGGGCTCTCAGGGGGCAGAGGAAGTCGAACAGCTGGTACGGCTGGAAGCTTGCCTGAGGCCAGGAGGGTCTGAGCCCACACTCACCTCCTCTCTCACCCAGGCCACGTACTGGGAGAAGTAGCCCATCTCCCGGGTCAGGAAACACTCACTTTCCTGCAGGGAAGAGAGGAGCCCTGGGCTGGTCGGAGTCCCAGGGCCAGCACCCCTGCCCCCCATGCCTGGCACCATCAGGACAGGTCAAGCTGGCTTTCCTGGGAGCCACGGTGAGGGGGCAGGGCTGGAGAATCCTGGGGTGGGAACCCTGCGAGCCTTAACCCTTCAACTCACCTCTGACTCTGAAGCCACCCCCCAGCCCTGCCCCATCCTCCCACTCACATTCTTCAGGATACGGGTGGCCCAGGTAGGCAGCTCTCCTTTCAGGTGAGTGACTCTGTCCAGGACATCTGAGGTCTCCGGCTGGGGGAGAGGAGAGGGGCTCGGTCAGGGAACAGCCACTCATTCACTCATCCATTCATTAACTCAACGTACGACACACAACATACTCACCTTGGGGTGGGCCGTGTTAGGCCCTAAGGACAGAGGACACATATGGCGGTCCTCAAGGATCTTCCCACCCCACCCTCAACTTCCAGTGTGCCTGGGTAGAGCAGGTGAGGTCCCAAGCCAGCTGGGCCCACACGTTCTTGCTCCCTCTGCTGCCCACCTGCTCCCCCCCACCCCATCCATCCCCAGCAGCCACCTGGAGAAGTGGGGCAGAGGATGCCAGGGCATGGACACTGAGGTTGAGCTTAGCCTGTGAAAAAGAGATCAGGGCTGGTCAGGGGAAGGAACTGGTAGGAGGGAGGGTTCCCAGCATCCCTCTCCTCCTCCTTGCCCCCTCCCTGCATCTCCTCTCCAGGTCCTGGACTCCCTGAGCCTCCAGACTTACCACAAGCCTCTGCTGGAGGAGGAGCTTCTCCTGATGGAGCTTTCTGAGCCCCTGGGCCTCCTTCTGCAGCTGCTGCCCCAGCACAGTATTGCCCTGAGGGGAGACATATCAGAATGGCACTCTGCCCGGGCCGAGACAGGCTTTGACGACACATCCTTCACCAAACCGTTCGACCAGACATACTGGACGGATGTGGAAAGTGCTGGAATCAGAGGTTGGCCTCAGAGGCAGAAAACTGAGGGCTCCTTAAGTTCCTTGGCCAGATCTTGGTTTGGGGGCCTGAGCCCAAGTTCCAGGTCCGGCCCTAGCTTGCTCTGCGCATCGTGGTGGGTAGGAGAGGGGTGTCTATGAGATGCCTTGAAGAGAACTTTTTAAACTCTCTATATTTATAAATACAAAGTGCTACTTTTCCCAGTACATTTTAAGCTTCTAGAGGCAACTGTCATGATATCTGATCCATCAGGCTGTCCTCACAGCATCTGTCCCAGCAGATTCCACAAGCGGTGTGCGCCTAGCAATGCTTGCCCAGCTGTGCGATGTCAGACCACATCTGACATCATCTGATCTGAGGTGGGTGATAATCCACTTTAGAGATGAAGACGCCGAGGCCCAGAGATGAGGAATGATTTGCCCAAGGCCACACAGCCAGTTGGTGGTAGAGCTAGAGCCAGAACTGATGCTACAGAACCCTTCATCCCAGCCGGGGGTCCAGAGTCTCAGCCCTCGGTGACAGGGGCCCTCAGTCCCCTCCCCAATCCAGGCACTCCCACCCCGTCCCCCCTCCCAGGCCTCTGGCTCCAGCCTGCCAAGTGGGGTCTCTGTTCCCTTCTCACTTGGGTCTGGGCCAGTCCCTCCAGCTCCTGGGCCAGCTTCTCCACGCTGATGTTCACCACAGGCTTCTGAATCTGGAGACGGACAGGAGAGGCCAAGAGGGGATGAACCCCGGCTCCCCCAGCCCCAGAATTCCCAGTCTTTGCAAAAGCACCCACACCAGCTAAGTCTATTGTGACACATCAGTCACAGTGGGTTTGACCTGAAATTGTGAAACATATGAGATACTTTCCATTAGGAAAGAAAAAAAAATGAGGCACCCTCTGGTGTAACCCAACGGAGAGGTGACTTCCCACCAGCATTCGCCACAGCAGTGGGTTCAGGACCACGGACAGCAACACACGCTGTTGGGTGGAGGCACATTCATTCTCGCCCAGCCCAGGTGCTGGCAGCTGGGACACATGGTCTGGAGACACCCCCAGCAGAAGAGGCCCCATGGACATGTGGAGGGGTCCAGGAACGGTGGAGGGCCAAGACAAGGTGAGACAGCTCCCCGACCCCCAGCTCCTCTGCGGGCCCCTCTGCTCTGCCGTGGTCTGGCCTGAGGTGCCCACTGCTGACCTCAACAAGGAAGCCTGGGTAGTGGATGCTCTCGAGCCCACTGCTCTGCAGGGCCTCCAGGTCCTGGCGGGCGGCTGGGCTCAGCAGGTCCAGATTCTTCACGTCCACTTTGAGTTTCTGCAACTCCTGCTGCAGCTTGGCAGTGTACTGGGAGGGAGGGAGCAGGGTGGAGCCGTGCTCTGTGGGTGAGCCAGGACCCCACAGCTGCTATCCTAGGTGAGGGGTCAGCAGGCCCTCAGGGCCCTCCTTCTGGATATCCAGGGCCCCTACCCTGGACACTCCCAGCCCCAGACAGGCTCCCAGCAGGCCTCTGCTCCCCACCCATCCCCAACTCCACCTTACCCCCACCGAGACCCAGCTCTCCTCCAGCGCCTATCTGGCTACTGGACAGCAGCACAGACCTTCCCAGGCCACGCAGAAGAAAAAGAGCTTCCCCGGCCCATCTTTATCACGTCACCTTGTGTTAAGGTCTTCACAGCACCTGTGTGCTATTTACTTATCTGGGTACTAGTTTACTGCCATCAGCTCCATGAGGATGGCACCTCATCTTCCCACTCTGTACCAAACCCTCAGCGTCTAGAGCAGAGGCTCATACATGGTGGGTGCCGTACAAATTTGTTGAATGTGTAAAAATGAGTGAATGAATGAATGAGTGAATAGACACAATCACATTTCTAAGACAGAGCACAGTTTAAAAAGGGACTCGAGCCTGGAGGGGTGGGATAGGGAGGGTGGGAGGGAGGGAGACGCAAGAGGGAAGAGATATGGGAACATATGTATATGTATAACTGATTCACTTTGTTATAAAGCAGAAACTAACACACCATTGTAAAGTAATTATACCCCAGTAAAGATGTTTAAAAAATAAATAAATAATAAATAAAGAGCTCAGTTTAAAAAGGGACTCGAGGGCTTCCCTGGTGGCGCAGTGGTCGAGAGTCTGCCTGCCGATGCAGGGGACACGGGTTCGTGCCCCGGTCCGGGAAGATCCCACATGGCGCGGAGCAGCTGGCCTGTGAGCCATGGCCGCTGAGCCTGCGCGTCCGGAGTCTGTGCTCCGCAACGGGAGAGGCCACAACAGTGAGAGGCCCGCGTACCGCAAAAAAAAAAAAAAAAAAGGGACTCGACATTTTCCAACCATTGCTGGGAGAGATTTAAAGGGCATGAAATTCAGCCCCAGTGTTTCACAGGTGAGAGGCTAAAGACAGGGCGGAGCCTCAGAGTACGGAGCCCAGCTCAGCTCACCTCTCGCCATCCCTCACACTGCCTCTCAGAGGCAGGGGTCTTGGAGCAGCATTTCAGGCACCAGTAACACACAGGTAAAGGAGATGTCTCGAGGCGGGCAGAGTCCTCGTGGTGCCCGGGAAAGCACACCTTGTCTTAATTATCTCTGCATCATCAGCCCACTATTATCTCCTTCGAGGACAAGTTCTCCTAAGGTCACATTTGGTTTGTTGCCAGATGGCCCCCAAGGACTGCCCAGTCCCTCTGGACCTGAAGCCCTATCTGTCCAGACTCTTCTGTGACCTGGACCCCTCCCTTCCCTGGACCAGGGCTGAGAGCCCTCCCCTTTCAGCCAGCAGAGCACAGGGCCTCCTCTGCTCAGGCCCCCTGCTGCAGCCCTCTGTGGCCAGCCTTCACCCTGTGGCCTTGCACCAGAACAGTGCCGGCTCAGTGGACCTCTCCTCTGATTAGAGACGCTGAAAGAGGAGACGGCTATGGCATTAAGGAAACTGCCCCAGGTTATAGTTTAAGGCGTGAAGTTGGGACTGAAATCTGGACCACTTGGCTATGCTAGCCTGCGGACTAGGTGCAGGTGGTGGGTTCAAGAGGAGGTGGAAGGTTTCTGGAGACAAGGCAGAATCAGGAGTTAGCAGTTTAGGAGGGGTGGGGGGAGAAGCAGGTGGGAGAAATGTGGTTTTCCCAGGATATGCTTGGGAAGGGCTCCTGGGGGACCCTGGGAGCCAAGGCAGCTCTCCTCCCACCTCATTTGGGCGTGAAGAGAGGAAAGGAGGGGGTGTTTTACAGCTTCTGTGCACCCTTAGGAGAACCACGCTCTCAAAGTACGTCTCCTCTCATGAAGGAGCACTTCCTTTTCTTTGTTCTAGAACTGTCTCTTGCCAGTGTGAGTAAATCTCTCCAGTTCTACATAGCAAGTTCTGGCAAAGTCCAATGGTTAGGGAACAGGCTGTGGGGAGCCCCCCTCCAGTGGTACCCAACTTCATCACCATCGTTTTCACTGTCACACTCCCTCGCCAACCTCCCTGCTCCCACTGCAGCATCCAAACCGATGCCTGTCCTCAGTCAGGACACACACCCTAGTCCTCTCACTCACTGTCACCACCCTGTCCGGCCTCAACCTCACCTGTGTTCAGCTTTTCCGGGAGCGCAGTGCTCAGAGCTGGTCAGAGCCTCCAGGCATTCACGCGCTCACCCATACGCTCTGGAAGCTGCCCTGGGCTGTAGCCCTGGGCCAGGTCCTGAGCTTGCACCCGGGTCCTCTGCCCCTGAGGCGCCTCAACTGTTCTTGTAGACTTCTCGGGTTCAAGGAGATGGTCCCTCCAGCAAGGCAAGACCGGAAGAGGGGGGGTCTGCAGGAAGGGTCCCCAGTGTGTTCCAGAAGGTTCTCTCACCTGGCTGATATCCAGGTGCTTCTCCAGGTCATAGGAGTCATTGAGCTGCAGGACCGTCCAGAGTGCAGCCCCTTGCTTGCACTGCCTGCAGAGGAACGACAGGCATCAGAGATGAGAGGAGGGCGGGCAGGTGGGGGCTGACGTCATCCTAATGGGATGCCCGCCTCAGCCCCTCCTCACACCCCGGCCCCCAGCCCAGTCTCCCCGCTCACTTATAGGCCAGGAAGACGCTGAGGTTCTTCTTCAGGCCAAGAAGTTGGGACAAGTTCATGGATGACGGCAAGCTCCCCGGAGTGTCTGCAAACTGGGGATGGGACACAGAGGAACGGGCCTGGAGTGGGGAGTGGGGGGGCAAGGCCACCCAGCTTCCCAGGGCCTAGTCCCACGCTGCCCTGGCACAGCAGAGACCATAACCCTGGGACTCCAGCCCACACCTGCCTCTAACTCAGATCACTCCAGGGCCCTAAATCCTGGCAGGGACCCTCCCCGTGACTCTCCAGGAGGGTGGCTGGCCTGTCTTCAGCAGAGGACCCAGGCCAGCATCTTGGCTCACCTGCTCAGTGCAACAGGGAACAAGGATCCCCAATTCCAAGACTCAGTGTTAGGAGGGCAGAGGGCCTCAGGTCTGGGGGCCATCCTTCGAGGTCCCTGCCTGGGGCCTGGGCAGCCTTCCGGGGACTCACTGGCTCTTTTCTCTCACTGGTGGTTTTCCATCTCTTTCCTTGGCCGTCTCCATCATTCCTCCTGTCTCTCTCTCCCTTCTAACCCCTCGGGCTCCTACTTCCTTCTAAACCTCCTGCTCTGCCCACAGCTCTCTCCTCGTCCCTCTGGGCCCCAGAGCGGGGCAGGCCCACCTCATAGAGCTCCCCGCTCTCCCAGCTCCGGCACACCAGGGTCTGCACGTTGCCGCCCAGCAGGAAGGTGGCGAAGACAAGGAGGATGAGGGGCGCGGCGAAGAGGAAGCTGAAGCCTACACCCCTGGGGAAGGCGGAGGGACAGGCTTGAGACAGGAGGGAGGATGCCCTGGACCGTGCGCTCCATCCCCATCTCCATCCCGGGGCCAGCATGGTCAGTGAGTCAGCCCCGGGGCAGGAGAGAGGACTCAGAACTGCTCACCGGCCCCACCTCATCCTCCCCCATCCCCACTCTACCGCTGCTGCCCTGGCTGGCCCTGGCAGCCTAGAGGAGAGCACAGCTGTTCTGCTCAAAGAGCCAGGGCTGCTGGCCTCTGGGCCGAGGACACATGGAGGTGACCAGCTCCAGAGCTCAGCCTCAACGGGGCCACCTGGCATGGCCAGCCATGACCCACCAGCAGAGGCAGCAACCTACAGCATCTGAGTAGGACCTGTGCCACTGACCAAGGCTTCTTTGTGAGACAGGCGTGGCCCCATGCCAGGATTTGAGGCTTGGAGAGTGAAACATGGGCTGGATTTCACTCACCCCTTTGGCCAGGCACCTTTATACAGTGACCCTCCTGCACAACTGAATGTGGCAGCCCTGGCCTTAGAGACGATCTAGTTCAGGGCTGGCAAACAGATTCTACCTCTGGTGCCATCTCCTAATGGTAGTGCTGCCTGGACACTGGGTTAAGCAGGATTCTGAGGCTGTATCTGGGCTCAGAGAGAAAAGGTGCCCATTAATTATTAAAGTTGCCACTGGTGTGGGAAGGAGAAGTGCTTCTTATTTGCATTCCTGCTCTAGGCCAACCCTTTTATACAAACTGAGGCCCAGGTGGGTTATAATTTGCCCAGGGCCACCCAGCAAGTCAGCCCAGAGCCAGACCACAGCTCAGTCTCTTGATCCCCAGGACTCGCTCCTGCAGCTACACAAAAGCTGTCCATGGGCATGAGAGGAATGTACCAGCCCAGGGGCAGGGGGAGAGACCCTCCCCCTCTCCCCAGCCCTTCTTACACCATGAGGAAGCGGGCTCCAGCCTTGCCCTTGGCTTCCGAGTGGCTGGGGTCTTCCCTGTTACAGAGCCCCCAGATGCCCAGGCTGAGGCCCAGCAGGTTACAGACCACCACAAGCAGGACCACAGAGCACAGCAGGCAGCCCACCATCCACCTGCCACAGAGAAGGTGGGGCGTCACGGAAAGGGCAGTAGTGGGCACAGGAGGGGCTGGTGGAGGACCTAGTGGCTGGGTCGGGCCACTACCCCAAAGCTGAGGCTTTAGAAGTGTGACTTCCTATAGGGTCCCCAGGCTCAGATCCCCAGGGCACACAGCCAAGGTGGGCACACGGAGGCCCAACGAGAGAGGGATCTTGGCTTAAATGGAGGTGGAGACTTAGTATAAGGAGGGTTGATGAGGGCTGGAAATTGGTTCCAGGGTGGCTGAGAAGCTGAGCTGCCCATTCCACCCATGCCCACGGGTTCCCAGGCACCTGTATTTCTCATATCTCTGCACCTCCTTCAGGTAGGGGCGGCTGCACTGTTCCATCTCCTCCAGTGCTCGGCTCCAGCGAGAAGCCGCCTCCCAGCCTGGGAATGCTTCGACCAGTGTCCTTAGCTCTCTAGGCTGCTGGGCCACCACCTTCTTCAGCTCTGCCCAAAGCAGCAGGGGCTTATGGGATGGGGAAGACCCCCAGGGGCCCAGGGAGGAGATGGATGGACAGGAAGAACATCTGGGATGCACAGAGATGGTTCACTCTCTGTCCAGGTCCAGCCAAGTGGACAGCCTTCACCTTCCCCACCCCACTACCCCACTCCTCTCTCAACAAGCCTCGTAGGTAGGGGTGTGTTGAGGGGCATCCTAGGCAGACAGCTTGGCCCCTGGGCGGGGCCTCACCTCTGATCACGTCGGCCGTCTGCAAGGTAGCCAGAGCCGGGAGGGCGTTGAAGGTACTGTTCTCCTGCCGGAAGCAAATGCAGCTGTGCCTCCTGCTGTCCACCCGGGTGTCCTAGCTTGGGGGACCCCTGCATGCCAGGTCCAGTGGGAGAGCAACCCCCCTCGGTGCTCCCAGACCAGGAAATCAGGAAACAGGCTTCCCTTTGCTCTCTTAGTCAGTGCCTTCTTCTCCTCTCCCTCAGCCTGGCCTGACTCAATTCCCCCAAACATTGCTCCTTTCTGTCCCCGCCCCTCTTGCTTAGACTGTTGCAGTAGACTCCTAGCCATCCTCTCATCTCTCCCAGACACTCTGCACAGGACCAACAGGGCGATTTCCCTGAAGTCCAGCTCCAGTCTATTCTTCCAGCCTCAGGCCTTATTTCCCTCCTCCTGGAACACTCTGCTCTAGTTACCCAGCACGACTGACTCACCGTTTCCCCAACCCCAGCATCTTCCAGGCCCTGGGTCATAGGTGCTGACTCATGCTGCACCTTTTCCCACAGCCCGTCTCCACCCAGGAGAGCCTGCCTGTCGTCTGGGGCTCAGCTTGTGTGCTCGCTCCTTGGCCATCCCCAGACCCCACCCCCTGAGGGTCCTAGCTCTTCCTTCTGAGCTCCAGGCCTGCCTCCCCCACCAGACCCCGTGCACACAAGGACCAGCATCGCGAGCCTCTAGCCCAGGGCGCCACGTGGTAGGCGAGGCCCTGATGTGACCCAAGTCTTAGGTTCAACTGGGTTCCCACCCCAAAAGAGAAAAACTGAGGCCCCTCACATTTGAGTCCCCAGCCAGGTTGCGAAGAAGTTGGGTAGACTGGGACAGGCACTCACCTCCTGGACCATGCTGGAGAAGTTGGCCTCTGGGACACCTTTCAGCCGATGCAGGGCATCATCCACAGAGGGCACCTGAAATGGTTTGAGGGGCTTGTTATGACAAAGTCCACAGAGAGGCCCGGGAGGGGTCCTTGGGGAAGGATGAGGGCAGAGGCCTCTGAATACTGTGTCCTCGTGTGCAAGATGGGGACCACCACAGCCTCGAAGGCCCTGGGTGGCAGTGAGAACTCAAGAAGCAAAGTCACACGAGGCTCACGGCACAGCGCGTGGCCCAGGGAAGCTCTCACTCCCCTGCCAGGATGACCATCGTTAACTCTGGGTGTGTGGAGAGGGCAGGGGCAGCCCAGGGAAAGGGATCAGGAGTCCGCTTCAGGAAACAGCCGGAACAGAGGCTGCCCAGGGATTCCTGGGGCAGCGGGCAGAGCAGCCCCTTTCACCCCAAGGGGCCTCAGGCCTGGGCCTGCACCTGGTTGAAGTCAGCTCCCAGCTCCAAGGCGTGGGCTCTGTCCAGGGCCTCTGCACAGCCCTGGCAGCTGGGCTCCTGCAGCAGGGCCAGGAGGCGCTCCCGGTGCCCCTGGACAGCCGGCGCCAGGGCCTGCTGCCCCTCCTGAAGTTCCACGGAGGTGGCGTTCAGGGCTCGGAGGTGGTCCACGGAGACCTGCAGGGCTGCGAGACCCACATTTGGACTGAGTGGTCTCCACTGCTACAGCATCCTTGGAGACCTTGCAGGAGGCAGAACATCTTTCCCTCCCAAACCCAGGGGACTGGTGGTCCTTAATCTCTGTGGTTATAATGGAAACTGCCCTGGGGCACGTTAAGCCAGGAGCGGGCAAAGGTGCCACAAGGGATCCTAGGATAAAGCCGTGAGAAAGTCAGGGGCGGGACCGCGGACAGTGTAAGAAATGCAGGGCTGGGCGAGGGTGGGGCCTGCCCCCCAGCGACACTCACCCTGGCCCAGGCTGAGCACAGAGGCCAGGACCTCATACACGGTGCTCTGGAGCTGTGTGTGGATCGTGTTCCCAATGCTCCCGTGGACACCTGGAGAGCACAGGGCAGTCTGCAGGGCTGGACCCCAGGAGACTAGGGGCCTCCCCACCCAACCATCCTCCTCCCCTGGGTTCCGGAGGGTGGTCTTGCGGCAGAGTGGCCGCCGTGCTCCCCAGCTGGACCCTATCCCCGCCTCTGCGAGGGTGTTCCCAGGTGGAGCCCGGGATGAGGGATGAGAGGCCTCCCCAAGGCAGGCCTGAGCTGGAATCCTCACCATCCAGTTCCTCCAAGACTTGCTCCTGAGGAAGGGAAAACTGCTGTGCCACGGCCTGCAGCTCCTAGGCAGACACAGGGCCATGAGGCTGCTCCTTCCTGTCACTGGACACCCCGGCTCCCGTCCCTTCCCCAGCCCTTATTCCCCCACTACCCGCCACAACTGGGCGTCTGTCCTGAGAATACCATGGGTGCCATCATGGATTACAGGGACTCTCCAGCAGGGGGCAGTCAGGTGCGTGCTGGAAGGGGCACCCTCTCTAATGCGCAGGCTACGCACGAATTTGCAGGACCTACCCTGCTCTGTCCCGCCCATGGCTGGCGCTCATGGGGGCACGTGCGGGGTTACTTGGCGCTCACCTGGGGGACATCGGAGACCAGGCCCCGGAGGCTGAGCAGAGTCTCCGGCAGGGCCTTGGCACTGGGGCCCATCTGCTCATGCGTGCGCTGGTTGGTGACAAAGGCAGTGACCACGCCGATCCTGCAGGGATTGGGGAAGAGCAAGGGGCTGGCTGGATGCCTGTGGACACCTTGGGCCTCAGCCCACGCCTCCCGCCTGACCTGGGCGCCCCTCACAGCAGTACGAGGGTGGTCAGCAGCAGGAAGGCCATGAGGGTGCCTCGCTCGCAGGCCATCGTCTTGTGCTCCATCTTCACTCGGCCACCACAGGGCCGGCGGCAGCGGCAGCAACAAAAGCAGAGCCCAGCGGCGGGTACGACCAGGAGGTAGAGGCCGGTGATCACGGCACACACCACGTAGCCTGCCTCATACCGCACCACCTGGGCAGGGCAGCAAGGCATGAGGGGCTGTCCTGACCCTGCCATCCCAGCCCTCTCCCGCCTGACTCCGGAGGGAAACCCGAGGGGAGGGAGGCACACTCGGGGGCGGGGCGGCGGGGGCACTATGCACACATCTCGCATCTCCTTTAACTCTTGTGAGGGGCACCGTGTTACCATCCTACAAACAAAGGACACTGAAGTCCAGGGAGGCTAGGACTCCCTGCAAACCCCACAGCCGCTGAAGGGCAGAGCCGTGGTTAGAAATCAGGTCCGCGGACTGCAGTGCTCACGGAAAAGGGGAAGGGATGCCAGAAACCCCACCCTGGGGCACACCCAGCAAGTGGGCTGAGCCGACGAGGCCCTTCTCCTTCTCCGGTCCCTCGTGCTCACCGCTGAACGCCCTACCCCGGCAGCGCCCCCCGGCCGCTCACCTCATCTGCCTTCACGGAGGATGGCTCATTCAGCAAGGCCTTTATCAGCTCTAGGAAAAGAGTCAAGCTGGGTCTGGGGGCAGCGACTGCCCTGCCCCTGTGTCCACCCCCGCTGCCAGGCAAAGGTGGGCTCTCCGAAGGGGGTCCTCCCACCACCTCGGCACCCTTGGAGAAGGCAGTGTCACCACAGCCCGGAGCCCTCGTGCCTCAGCCGGGCTACAGGAGGCTGTGTCTGCAGGGAGGCCTGGCTCCCCCCTCCTCCTGCGCCCCCCAGGTAGGCCCTGCAGCGGGAAAGCCGGCAGCCCGGTTAAAAGCAGAGAAGGGGCCTGGCCTAGCAGCAGCCCTTCTCCTAAGAGGCAGGCGACGGGCTGGGAGCTGTCCTGCTGCCCATCCTGGTCCTCACAGCCAGCACGGCGCCACCAGACCCAGAGAAAAAGCTCAACCCGCTCCTGGAGAACTTTGACTGTAACTTCCTCTACCTTAGGACAGAGAAACCGCGGCTCAGAGAGGAAAAGGGGCTTGTCCAAGGTCACACAGGAAGGTGATGCCCTGGGTGCCCGGGCCTTCTGGGGAGGAAGATGGGGCTGGGGAGTGCTGGGGACCCTGCCCTCCAAGTGCCTGCCGACGGTGGGTGCGCCCCTCGGTGGAGAGGAGATTAGGGTGCAGAGTGGGGACCCAATACCCGCCGAGGCCCACCCGGGGGAGGGACGCACTCACCGGTGGGGAAGGGGTTGAGCTGCACCATGGAGAGGAAGCGGCGCACGGTGCCGTAGAGGGGGTCCAGGGGCCCCGGCGCGCGGACGCGAGGGGCCAGCCAGCGGGTCTTGGCCGCCGGGGCGAACGCCAGGCGCTCCGCCGGGCCGAGGGCCCCGCAGTCCGCCGCGCCCGCCCGCCGCAGGGCCAGGGCCAGCCCCAGGCCCAGGCCCAGCAGGGCCGCCAGGAGGCCGGGCGCACGCACCATTGGGTCGGCCGGTGGGCTACGGGCCGGGCGGACGGGGCTCAGGCGGCCGAGAGTGCGGGCCGCGCACGGGGCTGGCCGTGCATCCTTCACCAGCCTCCGTCCCGCTGCTCTCGAAACCGGCCCGACAGGTTTGGGCTACCTGGGCACCCGCCGGAGCGCGGCCGGGGCAGGGGCGGAGGCCTGGGCTGGGGGTGGGGTTTGTGGGGTGGGGGGCAGGGCCTGGTCCGGACCCGCTCCCAGCGGCCTGGGGTGGGAGCCTGGCCGCCCTCTCCCTTCCCCAGATGCTTCTGGAAGGGCTGCCTCCGGAGCTGGGTGGGGAAGGCACCTCAGTACCTCTGGGTTATCTAGGATGGCCCAATTTCAACTATTACATCCTGCGCCCAGACGCAGCCGCCAAATCTGGGGCCTGGGAAAACAACCACCCCGTGAAAGTCTGGCCCAGAGTGCGGCCAGACTCCTCTGGGGCCTGCTCTGTTTCCTAGGGTCATGCCTGCGCCCATGCCAGGTCATTCTGGAGCACAGAGGCCACAGGGCTTCGTCCAGAGCGGCTCTCTGAGGGGCCACTGAGACGGGCACAATCCTTTGGGAGAGTGAATCCCAGCAAAGCTGTGCCCAGCAATGTCCCATCCAGTCATCAGCTGAAAGAACTATCAGGAATATACCCAGAGATGAAGTGAGAGAGTGGCCTGGACATACAGACACTACCAAATATGAAATTGATAGCTAGTGGGAAGCAGCCGCATAGCACAGGGAGATCAGCTCAGTGCTTTGTGACCACCTAGAAGGGTGGGATAGGGAGGGTGGGATAGGGAGGGTGGGAGGGAGACGCAAGAGGGAGGAGATATGGGGAGATATGTACATGTATAGCTGATTCACTTTGTTATAAAGCAGAAACTAACACACCATTGTAAAGCAATTCTACTCCAATAAAGGTGTTAAAAAAAAACAACAAAAAAGAATATGCCCAGAGATGTGTCTGCACAGGCCTCTGTTCTGTCAGTGGCTGTAAGCCCAGGACCCAGAGGGTGCCTGTAGCTGAGCAGTCGGGGAAAATATTGCTAAATGGATGGACGATGATCCTGGCAGCATTATTCATGATACCGGAAGCAGCCCCGATGGCACTACCGTGAAAAAATTGGTGAAATGACCACCTCACACACTGGGCTGTCATTAAAGAAAATGATGTGGAAATGGCTCTTTTGCCCTGAACGATGCTCGCAGAGCACTAACAAGTGTGAACAGCTGATGACAAATGGCTGAATACACGGAGTGAAGGCATAAAACAATGATCATCTCCGGGTGGAATCACGGGCAATTTTTAATTCTCTTCTGCTCATCTGTGCTTCCTAATGTGTGTGCAACAAGCATGCGTTACTTGTGTTCAAAGAAGTATTAGAAGTTTGTGAGTTTCCACAGCAGCCCCCATGGGAGCCCTGGAGGGAGAGGCTGGGCCTGTCCCTGCGTCCCCCCGGCTCAGCCCTGGTCTGCGGGGTGTGTGAGGGGCACAGGGGTCTTTGGCTGCTCACGGGAGTCTGCAGTAGGGAAGTGATTTAAGTGTAAGTTACGGCTGGGCCTGCGGCACAGTGCCCACACTTCCCACTGCTGCCCCCACAGTTTGCTCAGAGCCGGGGGTAAGAGTACACAGTTGTGGAAGGAAGAGTCCAGTTAATAACGGGGTGCAGACAGGAATCGGAACCTCATCAAAGGGTGACTCAGAGATGAGGGTCACGGCTGCAGTGGGAATGGGCTGGGGGTGCCCTAGTTCCTCAGGTCCAGGGCAGGGGGTGCAGTCCAGGGCCAGCACTGACCCCTGGAGCCCAACCTCAGTCGCGGGGGAAGGCCCCTGACCCCTCCACCCTCTGACTGTGCTGAAAAGCTAAACGCAGGCCGTACCCACCCCTCACCCTTCCCATCTGACTCACCTGAGCTCAGCAGCTGTACTGGGGGGTGTCTTGGCCTCCCGGAAGCTGCCATCAGGAAGGCCTGGTCTCCCCACAGCCTGCCTGCCCCTCTTCGCTCTCCTCCTCCAATGTGAGCTGTCAGAAGGAATGACTCCCCTGGCCATCACTTTCTATCAATAACTTGAGTCCCGCCACCAGCAGCATGGAAATAGCCCTTTCCCAAATTGATATAATCCACCTTTGTGATTTAGTAAATGCCATTTAGGCTTTTTTGTATTTTCTGACTTGGGTGCACCCAAGAGAGTGTAGGAGAGTTGAGGTCCCAGCCTCCTGAGGAGGATTAGAAACCCTTGGAGCTTTGGGAAATAAGCAGCCCAGGCCCCCAGGTCCTGTCTCCCCGCCAGACTCTTCTCAACTGTTGTAATTAAGGCAATCAGCTGCTACTGCTCTTGTTTTCCTGTGTCTCTAATAAAATCACTGCACTTTGAAGATAAGCGTTCACCCAAGAAAAAAACAAAACATACCAAGCCTCTTTTTTAGCATAGGGCCAGGAGGGCTGATAAAGATACTGAATCTGCCTATTTGATAGGTGGACAAAGTGAGGCATCGAAGAAGGGATTTTCCCGAGGCAGTGGCCAAGCCAAGAGTCTCCTTCCTGAGCCAGATCCTGATGGAACAATCTATCGTCAAACTGGTTGGTCAGCCTGAGTCTCCTCCCCTCCCCCAGCCCTAACTGGGAGAGCAGGTGGGGCTCAGGGGTCAGCCCTGGGTGCTGGGCAGAGGAGGAGGTGAAATTGCTGCTAGAATTGAATTCCTTGGAGGAACAGACCGAGCAGACTGTGTGGGGCTGGGCCCCTTGGCAGCAGGGATACCCCTGCAGCAGCCTCTAAGGGCATGGGGCTAGCAGGCAGCAGGGCTGGAGGGCTTCCAGATGTTGGGAAGGGGGTCCAAAGGAGGTTCTATCCTGTGCACTCCTTTTAGTCACGCCTTTCTGGGCACACCTGCACCTCCCTTCCTCCCGCTGCTCCTGGGCCCCCGCTACCATCCATGGAAATTCTTTTTTTTTTTTTGCTGTACGTGGGCCTCTCACTGCTGTGGCCTCTCCCGTTGCGGAGCACAGGCTCCGGACGCGCAGGCTCAGCGGCCATGGCTCACGGGCCCAGCTGCTCCGTGGCACGTGGGATCTTCCCGGACCGGGGCACGAACCCGCATCCCCTGCATCGGCAGGCGGACTCTCAACCACTGCGCCACCAGGGAAGCCCCATGGAAATTCTCTGGTTGATCTAGTATAAGCTGGCCCTTGTTACCTTGGGAACACTTCCCAGGGCCACTTTCCCACTCTTGACTTCAAACATCATCAGAAGTTTGATGGTCTCCAAACCCCACAGCCCTGAGGCCAGGGAGGGGGGAGTGGAGGTGGAGACCTGGGGGAACCCAGACCCACGAGAGCATCCCTGGCTTCTCGTCCCTCATACCTGCATCCAGCCACTCAGCAGTGTCCTTCCAGTGCCCCCTCCTGGGCATTTCTTCAGAATGGACCATCGAAAGTAGGTATCAGGCTACGTGACTCCTTGGCGTCAAACCCTCCAATGGCTCTTGCACCAGCCTCGGGATAGAAGTGAATTTCTTAACATGGCTCACCAGGCCCTTGGCCACTGGTCCCACCTCAGTCCCCCTGGCAATTTCCCGAGTGCTCTGCCCTCCCTGTGACATTCCCCTCTGTCCTGTTCCTGCCACAGGATCCCCTCTTCTTCACTCTTGTTCCCATCTTGCACCCCACTTCTGTTAATCCCCTAAGACTTGGCTTGGTGGTCATTTCTAGGAGGCTCCCCGGACCGCTCCCCCAGGCTGAGTTGGGGGCCCCTTCAGGCTGCTTCCCTATCACTTGTTCACCAGTCTGTCTCCCCCACATAAACAAGCTGTATTTATTCATTAGGGTTTAAAAAAAAATTTTCTTTTTGACTGTGCAATGCGGCATGTGGGATCTTAGTTCCCCTACCAGGGATGGAACCTGGGCCCCTGCACTGAAAGTGCAGTCTTAACCACTGGACCACCAGGGAAGTACCAACAGGTTGTATTTTATTCACCTTCACCATCTCCTCAGCCCCATGCACAGTCCCCGGCACACTGACTCTTCTCCATAAATGTTTCCCTAGGCTTGAGGAAAGCAGATTTCAAAACCTTTAAAGATAAGATTTTCTTGCAGCCAGAGAGTCTGAAAGTGAATGTGATTCAAGAATAGATGGGGGGCTTCCCTGGTGGCGCAGTGGTTGAGAGTCCGCCTGCCGATGCAGGGGACACGGGTTCGTGCCCCGGTCCGGGAAGATCCCACATGCCGTGGAGCAGCTGAGCCCGTGAGCCATGGCCGCTGAGCCTGCGTGTCCGGAGCCTGTGCTCCGCAACGGGAGAGGCCACAACAGTGAGAGGCCCGCGTACCGCAAAAACAACAACAAAAAGAATAGATGGGAGAGGGGAATTCCCTGGCGGTCCAGTGGTTAGGACTCTGCGCTTCCACTGCAGGGGTCACGGGTTCAATCCCTGGTTGGGGAACTAAGATCCCACATGCTGTGTGGTGTGGCAAAAAAAAAAGAATATGTGGGAGAATTTCCCCAAACCGAAATTCCCTGTGGTGGTAAGTGAAGCTGGCGAGGAAGGGGTGGGGTGGGTGGGGAACAGGAATAGGCTCTTTGGGGAGGGGTGTGTCCATGGGAACGTCTTCATGAGCCTTGCCCAGCAGTGAGGATGGGACGCAGCCCAGAGGGAGGCCACAGGAAGTACGTGGGGCTTTCAGCAAAGTGCTCCAGCATCTCAGTGATCATTGCTGCAGGCCGGGTGCAGGTTCCAACATGGCCAGCTAGCTGTGGCCGGAAGGCGGCAGGTGTGTCGGGACCTCAGGCAGGCAGCTTTGTCAGAAGCAGTCAGAGTCAGGAGGGCAGGGGCCCAGGCAGACAGAGATGGCCACGCTCCGGTTTGCCATGGCAGGATGAGCTTCTAGAAGAGGCAGCCCAGCAGTGAACAGATTCTCCAGGCAGACTTGCTGTAGGAAGGTTCTCAGTCAGCTGAAGACTTCAGTCTTTGCAGCCCAGGGCCCCTGGGTGGGCTCTGCACCCTCAGCATGGCCAGGGGAGTCCCCTTGAGACCTGAGGGTCACCATGTCCTCAAAACTTGATCTCTGTGTCAGTTGGGAGGACAGCATCTTCTGGCCTGAGCCAGACTTCCTGGGCTGCCCTCTCTCTCCAAGGTCAGGGCCCAGGCCTCATCTGACACTGACATCAGCTCCCTCCTCACCCTGTGGCACTTGCGGCCATGGCCTCTTGGGGAGAAGACAGACAGGGGCCTGGTTTGCAGAACCTCGGGGCCATTTTGGGAGTCGTGTGGTCCAGGAGCACCGCAGGAGCCGGCTGCGCCTCCCCTAGAGCCTGACTTAGAAGGGAAAGAGGCACAGGTTGGAGAAGGGCCGCTGGCCCTATTCTCCAGTGCAGCCTCCTCCCATCACCACAGTAGGTGCCAGGGAAGGTTGTTGATGGTCCCTCTTTGGAGGTGCCATGCGTCCACTGCTTCCCATTGGGTGCTTGTGACAGCACCACTGACCAGACCCTCAGGAGCTCTGTCTGACCCCTGAGTCTCCTCTTGGGCACATTCAGGTGCCCAGGAGGTCCAGACCAAAAGTCTTAAAGAGCAAGGTCTTATATTGTAGCTAGGAAAAAATGGCTCCACCCTCTGTCCCCTTAAGACAGCTCTGCGAGGACACAGGCCATAGAAGCAGAGGCTCCCCGGGAGTGGAGACCTGGAAGAGGGGGGTTAAGCCCAAAAGATAAGCCCACCCAACCATGACCAGCAGATGGGTTACATTGTGGAGAGTTGAAAAGTGATATCTAAAGTCCACAGGGTAGTTTCAGGTGGCGTGTTGCCTGCTCTGAATCAGAACCTGTCTCCTGTTCAACATCGACTACGCGAAACCAGGAGGAATGGTGTGTGGTCCTGATAACAGAGTGAGGGTTCGAAAGAATCTCAATCCACTGGACTGGGGGGTTCAAACCCGCAGCATGAAATGCAGCCAGGAGAACTATTCACGGGCAATTCACAGATTCCTAGATTCATAACTGTTTGTGGAAACAAAAAGACCATAATGGGCCAGCTGACCACAAGGTAGCACAAGGTAGCACATTATTGAGGTAGCACCTCAATAATGAGGTCAGACAGCTAAGATGCCTTTGTAATGCTAGCCAGCCTGAGAGGTCAAAGGTCCCCCCCCCCCCCGCGGAGGCCAGGGACATTGTCCTGTGCGGCTCAGCCCTGCTCTGGAAGTTAAACTCCCTCTCGTGACAGCCACGACTAGGTAGGTGAGGCAGGGCCAGAGCACCAAGCCAGGAGCGGCCACCTGTGCCCAGGAGAGGACCGCCCCCAGAGGTCAGGAGGAAGGACAGGAGAGCCAGGGAAAAGACCCCATTGGCTTCCCGTCTTCCATGCTGGAAGCAGCCACGAGACCTGCCCTGCCTGTGCCCCCAGCCCCGCCCCGAACTGTCTCCTTCCTCCTCTGCCCCACTGCAGACCGGGCCACGAACCTGGTCACAGCCACTGGGGACATGGACGGGCACACGCAGCCCTGCTGGGGCTCCACGCCAGCAGCATTTCCCCTTTTCCGTGCTGCTGGTGTGTCCTCCAGGCTGACGATGGTGCTGAACGCGTCAGGGTCCCCCTAGACCGTGGCTGAGGACATAGGAAGCCCCCTGATACCCAAGAGGTCCCAGGCACTCCTGCACCCCTGCACCCCTGCAGCAGGCCCCTGAGAAGTATGTCTGCAGTGACCACCCTCTAGGAGGCAGGACGCTCTCTGCAGGAGGGAACTGGGTAGTTGCTTTTCCGGGCTCAGCACCTTCCACACGCTGGGGAGAGAGGAGGACCACCTCCAGATGCAGATGACGTCCAAAATAGTTGGCAAAGGAGCAGTCCCTTCAAAAGGCAGTGGAGGCCTTCCCTGGTGGCGCAGTGGTTAAGAGTCCACCTGCCAATGCAGGGGACACGGGCTCGTGCCCCGGTCCGGGAAGATCCCACGTGCCGCGGAGCGGCTGGGCCCGTGAGCCATGGCCGCTGAGCCTGCGCGTCCGAAGCCTGTGCTCTGCAACAGGAGAGGCCACAACAGTGAGAGGCCCGCGTACCCCCAAAAAAAAAAAAAAAAAAAGGCAGTGGAGCAGTGAAGGGTAGCATCGGCTTCCAAACGGAGAGGAGAGGGCAGCAGTGCCTCCAGCTGGGGGCCCCACTTCCTGGCTGGCTGTCAGCCTCGGGCAGATCCTAGCAGCTGCTCTCTGCTCCCATACGTGGGCCCCTACATCCCTTAGCCGGCGATGGTGCCTCCGATCCTTCCCATACTGACTTCCCCATCAATCATATTTCTCTTGCCTCTTCCAGCTCATCTCTCTGGCCAACTCTTCTTCCCAGTCTGTTATTAGGGACTCGCACCTGGATGCTCCAGAACTGGCTTTTTCCATCTCAAAGCCAGAAGATTAGTAACCTTAATCACACCTGCAAAATCCCATCACAGCAGTGCCTAGAATAGTGTTTGTTGAATAACCAAGGGACAGGAATCTTCAGGGGATATCTCTAGACTTCTGCGTATGATAGGTTACTTTATTGCAAAGTTTCTCATTTGTCTCTAATTTGCTAATATGATCTCTGAGTCTCCCAAAAGGAAGTCTTCTATGCCAGCCGTTTCTGTTAAGATTAGATTCAACTGACTACTCAGAAAATCCAAAATAACAATGGGTAAACCAAAACAGGAATGTGGTCTCGCATAAAGCGAGACTGGAGGTTGGTCATCCAGGGCTGGCCCCGCAGTTCCGCGAAGCAACAGCACCCAGGCTCCTCCTCTCTTTTGTTTACTCAGGCACTTTCCAACCTCGTGATTGCCTCCTGGAACAAAATGAGGGTTGGAGGTCCAGTCATCACATTGACATTCCAGCCTGGGGAACAGCTGGGAGGGGCTGATATCCCTCCTGGCTAAGGCAACTTCCTTTAAAGCAGCCTCTACCCTCCCCCCACGACCCACCCCCCACCATGTCACTCCCAGACCTCGAATTTACATTTCATTGACCAGCGCTTGATCAGAAGGCCACACAGAGCTACAGGGAGGCTGGGAACTTGCTCTTTGGGCTGGGTGCTCTGTGCCTGGAATAAAGCCAGGGTTCTGTGGCTCAGGAAGAAGTGGGGTGTGGACACTGGGTAGATCCAGCTTTCACGGCTACCCTGGGTGCTCCAAGCATATTTGACTACAGATGCCTTTGTTTTCAGAGCACAGTTCAGAAAGTGTGTTTTCCTTTAACCCGCAGAATAATGTGTTACGTCTAGCTGCCCAATACGTTTGGGTTCTACTCTCCTAGTCCCCGAGCAGTGGAAGTATTTTAAGACCGAATTATACAGTACTGAAGAAAACGTAAACATTCATCCCTAAATTGTATCAGAATAGGACCCTGTGCTTGCAAACCCAAGCCACATCATTCGTGTCTTTCCCTTCCCCTTTCACTCGTGTTTGACTCTGCTGGGACTCAAATGTAGTACAGCATGCATGGCGGGTACAACAGCTCCAGGCAAAGCCTTCAAGGCGCAGGGGAGCTGCAGGTCTTGCATTGGGGCCCATCCTGCCAGCTGCAGCCCAGGGACTGGACCCCTGAGCAGGGACTGCTGCCTGGAGGTCCCCAGCTCCTCCTCTCCTCTCCTGTCCCGGTCATACGGCTCAACTCCTGCCCTGCACCATCCGCCCCCACTCCCTTTCAAGGTCACTTCTCTGTTGGAGGCCTTGGAGCAAAGGAGGACTATATCTCAGGGCCCCTGTTCACCTTGCAGCAGTCATCACCTGGCATCTGGGGAGCCGGCCTTTTTTCTTCATCCCTGACTCACCACTAAAACAATTATGTAAAGATCTCTGACTAAGAGCTAGGGGGTAAAGGAAGGTGACTGCCGCAGACGAAGGAAAAAATCCTCAAACTGAAATGTCAGTCATCGTGTTCCTAGCAACCCGCTCAGCTCTCGCCAGGGGAAGTTTCTCTGGGGCTCTGTCTGTCCTCAGGCCCTTCCTCCACTGTGCTGTCTTAAGTCTTCCTCCTGTCTCAGGTCCTGGTATTGAAAACCCCAACTTGTAATCTGAGGGTACTGTCGTCAAAGGATTCTGTTCGAGCTGGGATATGAGCGCCCTCCGTGTACACAGCAGGTGACACTTCAAGGACACGTCTGTCACACTCAGGGAGGTCGGCTCTGGGTTCCGGCCTCTCACTTCAGACTCATTAACCTCTTAGGACCACAGTTTCCGCAAATGCAAAAGGGAGGTTTGGTCTTGCCTGATTGCTGAGGTTGGCCCCTCATCCCCACACAGTGACGGCTGACTTCCACTGATTGCAGCAGGGCGAGTTCTGGCCCAGACAGCATCGTTCCCACAGATGAGGCAGGCCGGGGACGAGAGGCAAGGGTGCCCGTTTCCAGGATTGAGACAGAGCCGGGGTCTTTCTGGCCCAGAGGGAGGGAGGGTGCAAACCCAAGAGATGGAGAACATCAGGGCATCGATGGAGGGGCAGCTGGGGTGAACGCTGATGCCCCGCGAGGTGACCCGTGGGATGAATGACTGCAAGCTGGGAAGGGGACTGCTCGAGGATGGCCAGGCCAGGAGCACACTTTGGTGATGAGGGCACTGCACCCCAAAGCAGACTGGGCCCTTCGAAAGGAGGCGGGACAAAGCAGGGATGTGGGTGTCAGCAGGATAGCTCAACGAGAGGAAGAGCTAAGGGAATACACTGGGACCAAGGATCTAGACTAAACTGGGGACCCGGCAGGATGTATGGAGTCCAGACACACACATCAGAGTCAGTGTAAGGCAATGAGGTGGCAAACCTTCGGTGGACAGAAGTTTGGCATCGAGAGGTAGCAGCACGGGAATTCCTTGGTGGTCCAGTGTTTAGGACTCCGCGCTTTCACGGCCAAGGGCGTGGATTCAATCTGGTCAGGGAACTAAGATCCTGCAAGTCAGCCTGCGAGGCCAAAAACAAACAAAAAAGAGGTAGCAGCGGGCTAAGGACAGCAGGAACCAGATACGCAGGTGGGACCCAGGTGAGTGCAGATTCCAAGACACCAGCAGGTGAGCGTAAGTATCAGCAAGCAACAGGCAGCCAGGGCAGGAAAGCTGGCCCAGGGTGGTGGGAAGAAGGAGGCCCCAGCTCTGGAGCCTGCTGGGAGCCCTCCAGGGTCAGCTCAAGGACTCAGGTCCCTCCAAACTCAAGTTCTCATAAGGAGACTTGGGCCAAACATGGCTCCTCTTGGGTAGATGTAAGGCACCCAGGAACACCTGGAAACTTTCAGGGAGAAATGGCCTTTGCTTCAGGTCGGGGAAGTGGGCATAGAGGGAATCCCTTCCCCTGATTCTCTGGCAGATGAAAATCCTTGCGATTCAGCAGCACCTGTGGAGCCTCTGCACCTCCCGTCTGCCTGTCCTGGGAATGGCCCACAGGGGACCCCATCTGGTCATGACACCCCCCTACGTGAAATACTTCAGGGCTACTCGTGCCCCTAATAATGTTCCGTCCCCAGCGCTGGTCAGATGCTGCAGCAAAGACAGTGTCCGCCTTCACCAGCCCCAGCCCCGGTTCAGCCTCCTCTCCCGGAGGCCGAGGCAGACTGCGTTTCCCAGCCTCCCTTGTAGTTGGGTTGAGGCCATGTGATTGGTTAACCCTGACGAACGGGCTGTGAGCAGAAGTAGAGGGAGTTATTCTGTGGCCAAAGCACAGCAGGGCAGGTATGAGGTCCCACAACTCTCTCCCTCTGTGTTGGGCCCCTGCAGCCGCACATAAAGATGAGGATGTTACAGGACGGTGGCACCTCATCAGCCTGGATCCCGGGGCCTTGGCAGAGCTGCCAAACCCAACACCCTCTGCCCCTGTCCCAGACTACACTGGCCCCCCAACCCTGGGCCACCAGAGTGAAAAATAAATCCTCGTTGGATTAGGCACTGAGGTCTGGCGTTCATCTGTTACTGAAGCATAACCTAGACGATCCTAACTAAATACATTCCCTCCACCCACACCCCGTGGATCAGGCGCTCTCCATCAACCATTAACTCCAGAGACTTCTGCCATACCCCTCCAACCCCAGACAGCCACGCTGAAGTTGCTCTGCCCCCAGCCTGCTGGTGTTTCATGCTTCTATTTCTCTGCTGTTGAACAGGCTGTGTCCCGACCCAAGTGCCCTCCTGAAGTTCCTGGCAGCTAAGCCTCTGACTGCATCGCCCAATGGGGCTGAGGCCCGAGCACCTGTCTTGCACCTCTGCTCTGAGAGTGTAACTGTTTCTGCTCCTGTCTCCACTTGACTCAAGTTTCTGAGAAATGAGTCTACAGCACTGCAAGAATTCAGAGCAGGCTCACCAGGACGCTGGACTGGGTTTCCATGTGAAGGCCTCGCTTGGACCAGAACCACCCAAGGGCATGTTTCCAGGCAAGGGGCCTTGGGTCTCACCTCAGCACACAGTCAGAAGGAACCCCAACTCAAAGGCACGGGGCCCTCCTTCTTCCTGGCCAAGAAGCCGGGGTCAGGGGTATCTCCCCACAGCAGGTCGTGTTCTGCTCCCCCATCCTTCGGCCTCCAGTCATCTCCATGGCAACGACTTTACAGACCTGACTCTGTGGGAGACACGGGGTGATGAACCATGTGTCAGCTGTTGGTTCTGTGGGGCGGCAGGAGCACAAAGCAGCAGCCCCAGCTGAGCAAACGTGTGTATTGAAAAGGAAAAGAACTATTAAAAACCTGTGTGTGTGTGTGTGTGTGTGTGTGTGTGTGTAAAAAGCTAAAACAAAGAGCTAGAATTTGGAGTCCTTAAAAGAAACCCTGGGGGCTTCGCTGGTGGCGCAGTGGTTGAGAGTCCGCCTGCCGATGCAGGGGACACGGGTTCGTGCCCCGGTCCGGGAGGATCCCACATGCTGCTGAGCCTGCGCGTCCGGAGCCTGTGCTCCGCAATGGGAGAAGCCACAGCAGTGAGAGGCCCTCGTACCGCAAAAAAAAAAAAAAAAAAAAAAAAAAAAAAAGGAACTCTGGGTGAAGGTGTGCTTCTAAAATCTAAAACCATAAGCCTCGAATGTGACTTGAAGTCAGCCCCAGAGAAAGCGCATCTTTCGAAAACAGTGAGTCCAACAGAGAACAGGACATCCCACGTAATGAGGCAAACTATCATTAGAGAGCTAAAAATAATTTCAGGTGTGTTTTGCCAAGAATTCAAAAGGCCTTTCAGTCCACCAACCTCCACTGAGTACCCATTGTGTATCCACCACCGTGCTGGGAGCTGGGAGCACAAGGCGATGGAGGAATATTTCTACAACTCTGTCTCCTGAAGATATAAAAGGAGCGGTCTAAATTAGCAGGACCCATGGCAGGGATCAGGGCACAGAGATGTGCTCAGTAATGACAAGAAAAGAGGATCATTTTCTTGTTGTGGTTTCTCCATAGACAAGGCTTCTAAAGAGACCAATCACCTCATTCCTCTTTGAAGCAGACAGGCTGAAAATCCTGTTGGCAAGTCCACAGGATGTACTAAGAATGACATGCACTGAAGCGGTGAAGCCACCCCAGAGTTTGGAAGGGATGAAAAGCAAAGACCTGTCATGGAAACGTCAAGCAAAACTTGTCTCCTATTGTTTTGCTCAGCAACGAGACCAGGAGAGTCCCAGGTCCACTCGCCTTGACTGTGGCCCTGGAGCCCGCTGCTGGGGCCAGGCCCAGTTCCCCTCTTCCCTGCACTGGGACATCACAGGACTCTTTTCATCTGTTTCTTCACCTGAAAGTTTGGTTTATGAACAGTCCCTCCCTCCGGAAGCAGAAATGATATAATATATATTCAGCACTTACACAGCTCCTGCTGCCTGGCAAACGCTCAATAAATGTTGGTAATTTTCAATATAATGAGCCTGGAGCTCATTAATAAATTGAAAATCTCAGGGGCATGGCTCTGTGAAGGTAAATCATTTTCCAGACTCCTCCTCAGGCTGGAAAAAGATGAGTCATTTTCAGCGGAGGCTGGTAAATTAAATAGGCAATTGAGGTGAGTAATGTCATCTGCCCAAAAGTGGATGACGATGATAATGATGACAAAAAGGAAACCAGTTCTCCTTAGCGGCTCTGGACACCACAGGCGTCTCCAGAGACCTGACTGGTCCCCGCCCCTGACTGGTCCCCGCCCCTGACTGATTGGTACAACACTGCCACCTGGTGAAGCCAAAGGGAACTACAGGGCAGTTCTTAAAAGGACAATAAGCCGCTTAAAAGGGCGAAACCGAAGCTGAGCTCCTGGACAGCAGTGCCAGGGGATCCAGCACACTGCAGAGATCTCAGTTCCCCCTTTCGCCTAATCTTAAATTAATGTGATCTACTCAGTTAATTCTGAGTCTTTGCCAGGCAGTTAATATTTCCTTCCTTCAAGGGTAAGCTGGGACGAAGTGAGAGAGTGGCTAGCGGGAAGCAGCCGCATAGCACAGGGAGATCAGCTCAGTGCTTTGTGTCCACCTAGAGGGGTGGGATAGGGAGGGTGGGAGGGAGACGCAAGAGGGAGGGGATATGGGGATATATGTACATGTATAGCCGATTCACTTTGTTATACAGCAGAAACTAACACACCAGTGTAAAGCAATTCTACTCCAATAAAGACGTTAAAAACCTTTTTCCTTCCTTCCCTTTTTATCTCTTTTTAAACGTGGAGATGTGGATCATACACACATACTCACATACGTTTATTTACATTTTAGAAAAATGTCGCGTACCATGCATACATAAACCTTAACTGTACAGTTTTGACAAACAGATACACACTTGTAGAATCCACATCCAATCAAGATAAGAAGGAACATTTTCGTCACCCTAGAAAGTTCCCTGTGCCCCTTCCCACGCAGTGCTCCCGCAGGAAGCAGTGACTCTTCTACCTTCCGTCACTATAGATCAGTTTTGTCTTTTCTAGACTTCCATATAAATGGAATCGTATTGCATGTACTGTATGCTCTGATTTCTTTCACTCACATGATGTTTTTTAAATCCGTCCATACATCAGTAGCTCATTCTTTTTATTGTTGAGCAGTAGTCCATTGTGTGAATATGCTGTCCTTTAGTTTGCTATTACACTGCTGGTGGACATTTGGGCTGTTTCCAGTTTTGGCTACTAAGAACAGCACTACTAGGAACAATCTTGTGTAAGTGCTTTTGTGAACAAATGTTTTCATTTCTCTTGGGTAAATATTGAGGAGTCAGAGTTCTGGGTCAATGGGTAGGTATATGTTTAACTTTCTAAGAAACTGCTAAACCATTTTCCGAAGTGGTGGTAGCATTTTTACCTTCCCACCATCAGTGTATGAGTTTCCTTTTATTTCTAAAGTTTGGAGAAGTCCAATTCTATATGAGCAGGGAAACAAGGAGAATAAACGTTCATATAAACTATTATGTCAGCATACAGTGAGGCAGGTGTTCTTTCTAAAACTCCACACACAGATGGAAATGCTGGATTAAAACATCATAAGTGGGACTTCCCTGGTGGCGCAGAGATTGAGAATCTGCCTGCCAATTCAGGGGTCACGGGTTTGATCCCTGGTCTGGGAAGATCCCACATGTCGCGGAGCAACTAAGCCCATACACCACAGCTACTGAAGTCCACACGCCTAGAGCCCACGCTCCGAAACAAGAGAAGCCACTGCAATAAGCCCGCGCACCGCAATGAAGAGTAGCCCCCGCTCTCCGCAACTAGAGAAAGCCCGCACACAGCAACGAAGACCCAAAGCAGCCAAAAATAAATAAATAAAATAATAAAGCAGTATTTAAAAAAAAATCATAGGTCTGCTCATAGAAATGTAAGAACTACTTTCAGACGTCAAAACCAAAACAAAAAACAAAAAACAAACCCCTCGGGCCTTCCCTGGTGGTGTAGTAGGTAATGCAGGGGGCCTGGGTTCAACCCCTGGTCAGGGAACTAGATCCCACATGCCACAACTAAGGAGCCCATGTGCTGCAACTAAGGAGCCGGCGAGCCTCAACTGAGACCTGGTGCAACCAAAATAAATAAATAAATATTTAAAAAAATCATTTCTCATTAAAAGGAACCAAAGGCAAAGTAATCAAACTTAGCATTAGGAACAATAGACAAATTGGCATCTTGAGTTTCTTGATGTGATTTGAGGATTACACAACAGCTATATAGCTTTCTTGCCAGAAATGCTTAATCTGGATCTAATCATGAGAAAACAATCAGAAAATACAGATTGTGGGACATTCCACAAAACAACTGGCCTGGACTCCTCAAAATGTTAATGCCATGAAAGACAAAAAGAGGTTAAAAGACCATTCTAAACTGAAGCAGACTACAGAGGCAGGACCAAAAAAATGCAATGTGTCATCATTGATTGGAAACAGACGGTGGAGCTGTAAATGACATTTTGGGATAACCGTGGACAAAGTAAAACTGACCAAGGACTTCCCTGGTGGAACAGTGGTTAAGACTCCACACTCCCAATGCAGGGGCCCGGGTTTGATCCCTGGTCGGGAAACCAGATCCTGCATGCTGCAACTAAAGATCCCATGTGCGCAACTAAGACCTGGCACAGCAAAATAAATAAATAAATAAATATTTTAAGAAAAAACCTGACTATATGTTAGATAATATTATTGCATAAATGTTAGATTTGGGGGGTTGAATAATGGTATTGTGGTTACGTCGGAGGATATACTTGCTCACACGCTGATACATATTCTTATAAAATATATGACATCAGGGCTGAAACTGGATGTCAGCAATCTAGTTTCAAATAGGTTGGCAAAGGAAAAACATACACAACCGAAAATAACTAAATAAAAATTTTAAAAAAGATCAGGAAGATTTAAGCTCACAACTCATGACTATGAAAAACGAAACCAGAATAAAAGTAGAACAATATCTTTAAAGTGCTGAGGGAGGGAATTCCCTGGCGGTCCAGTGGTTAGGATTCAGTGCTTTCACTGATGGGACCCAGGTTCAATCCCTGGTCTGGGAACTAAGGTCCCGCAAGCCAAAAAAAAAAAAAATGCTGAGAGAAAAATAACAGTCAGCCTTGAACTCTATACCCAGTGAAAATATACATCAAGAACTGGGGCAAAAATAAAGACATCAATCAACAAAAAACTGACAATTTACAACAGATCCTCACGAGAGTAACCTCTAAAAGATATCCTTCAGGAAGAAAGATGATTCCAGAAGGAAGGTCTTCTGGAATGCAAGAAGGAATAGAGATAAATCTGTGGGCAAATCTAAATGAACATTGACTTTATAAAACAGTGACAATGTCAGTACTTATAACACTAATATTTAAGATGGGAGGGTGAGTGTGGTATATCAGTTGCAAAGACTGACCCAATTCTTCACCCCTCCATGTCCACAGCCTTTGTAATGTGACTTTCTTTTTATTTTTTAAAATATCTATTTTATTTTCCTTTTTAAAATTTATTTATTTTTGGCTGTGTCGGGTCTTAGTTGCGGCACACGTGATCTCCGTTGAGGCATGCGGGATCTTTTTTTTCCTTACGGCAAACGGTCTGCTCGGGTTTCTCTCCAGTTGCCGTGCTTGGGCTCCAGGGCGCGTGGGCTCTGTAGTTTGGGGCACGCGGGCTCTCTCGTTGA